ACTTTTGCTGTACTGTATTTCATTGTATTTTTTTTTTTTATATCTGTCGGACTTACGACCTGGATTTGGGTCCCTAACCCCGTTGTAAGTCGGGGACTACCTAAGCAAAAGGACGCAAAAAATATGCAAGTGATTTTTAAAAACTATACCTAACCTAAATAAACACAAAAACATATATACAAAGGTGAAAAATAATGTACTCAGCTGTACTAATACACATTACAACTAGATGGCCAGTAGATTCCTTGTGTACAGGTTAGTGCTGGAACAGTGGATCACTCCATGACAGAGCAACAAGGTCCTGGTGCAGATGGTGGTGAGAGCTGACCTGCTAGGGTCTGGGTGCTCAGAAGAGACATCACTTGCCCCTCAAAAGCCGACAAGGTTTTCCACCAATTAGGAACCAACTCCTGTCTGTGTTTTCTCGTTGGCAACTAGTGGTTTGGTGGCCATGGAAGAAGCCATGCAGATAGAGGTGAGCGTGCAGTGTATTTACAGGGAAGTGTGACCCTTCTATGTTACACACCCTCCCTCAGCACCAACCACTTCAATGATCATTTTATCAAAGTTAGCAAAAATCTTGCAGAGAGCATCCCTAATCACCATGAGGAATTTAGAGCCTACCTAAAAAAGACAGGAAAATGAGTTTCTTATTTCTTGTCCTGGCAGATGAATTATTGACTATCACAAAATTGTACAAAGATGCAGCAGCAGGCGATGACAATATACCAATGAGCGTCATTAAGAAAGTAGCCCACATCTGTAACTCCTCCTTCACTAGTGGTGTCTTTCTGGATAAACTGAAAACTGCCAAAGTTCACCCAACATATAAAAATCTGGTGATATAGGTCTTTTCAAGAATCACTGCCCCATATGAGTCCTAGCAGCCTTTAGTAAGATACTGGAGAAGCTAGCATGTAGTAGACTAAATTCCTTCTGCAGTGTCAATAACATTCTTACAGACACTCAGTTTGGATTTAGAGCTAGAAGGTCAACTGGGAGTGCCCTGCTATCCTTTACTAATGACATCTTAAACTCCTTTGGTGATAGTCAGTTCACAGTTGGTATATTCCTTTGATACTGTCGACCATACCATCCTCCTGTCAAAGCTTGAACATTACGACATTAGGGGCTTATCCCACAATTGGCTTACCTCATATCTGTCCAATAGGAAACAGTATGTCTGCTATAATAATCACCAATTTGACTCCTCACTAATCTTGTATGCCATCCCTCAAGGCTCCATTCTCAGTCCAGTACTGTTTTTGTTGTACATATATGACATAGTCCACTCCAACACACTCATAAAAAACAACTTATTTGCAGACAATATTAATCTCTGTGCCAGCAATTCATATCTCCATTCCTTGATGAGAACTGAACAATAAATTGACTAAAGTCAGGACCTGGGTAATATGTAATAAACTGATCTAAAAAAAAAATTTACCTCCAAATTTGGTCACCCGCACCCTGGTAATACAGTACTCAAGCGTGAACAAAATACTAAATTCATTGGGGTTACTGTTGTTGATAAACTAAACTGGAGAAACCACATACAGGGCAGTCACAGTAAACTCAATAAACAGTGCGGTATCACACTCGACAGTGACTCACTCTCACAGCAATGAAAGAAATCTATTATGGTCTTATTTACCAACACTTGATACACTGTCACACACCATGGGGGGGCCTCTGGCTCCACAAAAACACAGCCCCTAGTCACTGCACAGAGGAGAGTTGTGCAGACAATGACCTACTTGAAAAAACTTATCACACTAACAAACATATTGCTAAACTGAAAATGTTAAAATTCAAGGATATTAATACCTACTGCTGTGCTCTATTTGTTTAAAAATCTATCAACCAATTGAATGACAAAATTATTTCCAGTTCCAGGATAACCAGAGATTCAACTTAAGACACCCAGAGCTACTAAGACCACCCCCCATGCACTCCTCTCAGTCCCAGACCTCCATAAAATATCATCCAAGCAAAGACTATGCTCCCTTCCCTTAAATCATCTCTTAAAAAATATCTATTGTGTATTAATGTTTTTGTAACACTTACTTTATACTCTTACCTTTATTGTACCACCAAAACCATAATAAAATATATTGTCACATGGATAGATAGAAATGACCATTGCAATAATTATATATTTGCCAACAAGACATGATCCTGACTGTTTCTGTCCTCTTGTTTCACCTTAATATAACCCATGTTGTACTGCTTCCCTCACTTATCAGATTAATGTGTATCAATGCCACTGTAAAATATTTATGTACTTATAATATAAATGTAAAAAAATAAAAGAAGTGATAATCGTGGTAACATTCTCATATGTTCTTACTAACACCATGTTACATGTACTATTCCAGATGATACTAAATGTTACATAATATTTCCTTGAGATAAATGTACAGTATATATCAGGTGCCACTAAAATAGCTCAGGCTCTCAATTGGCTCTCAGCCATGTTGATATTGTTATCCACTCTGTGTCAAGGGGGACAAAGAGAGTAAGGTGGTGGGGAGCAACTGAAAGAATATCCTCATTAACACACAAACCCATGCTTATGACAAGGTTAAGTTATATACAACTCCTCCCCGACTTACGACCTACTCGACTTACGTCCACCCGCACTTACGACCTGCCTCGGTCGTACCAAAATTTTGTCAAATTGCGTATTTTTGAGTCCCAAAGTCAGTACACAGACAAAATTTTCATCCTATAATTCCCTTTAAAATGGCTGGCAAGCTTAAAAGTGAGTGTTTTGTGGTGCTGAGAAGAAAAAGAGACCCCCATTTTAGATTTTCTATGTATTATTTAAGCATTTCCGACTTACGACCTGGATGTCGGTCCCTAACCCCGCCATAAGTCGGGGAGGAGCTGTATTACTTCTCTCTCTCTAGTCTTGTGTAGTACAATGCCCGGGTCTTTACAGTAAGCCCCAGAGAACATGATAATTTATCTATGTTTATTTTTATAGTTAATTTTTTATGGATTTATGTGTCCCACCTGCTTTATGCATTCCACCTGCTTTGCATCCCACCTAATTAATGTATTCCACCTGCTTAATGTGTCCCACCAGCTTTATGTGTCCCATCTGATTAATGTGTCCCACCTACTTAGTGTGTCCCACCAGCTTTATGTGTCCCACCTAATTAATGTATTCCACCTGCTTTATGTGTCCCACCTGCTCAATGTGTCCCACCTGCTCAATGTGTCCCACCTGCTCAATGTGTCCCACCTGCTTAATGTGTTCCCACCTGCTCAATGTGTCCCACCTGCTCTGTCCCACCTCAATGTGTCCCACCTGCTCAATGTGTCCCACCTGCTTAATGTGTCCCACCACCTTGTGTCCACCTGCTTTATGTGTCCCACCTGCTTTATGTGTCCCACCTGCCCAATGTGTCCACCTGCTTAATGTGTCCCACCTGCTCAATGTGTTCCACCTGCTTTATGTGTCCCACCTGCTTTATGTGTCCCACCTGCCCAATGTGTTCCACCTGCTTAATGTGTCCCATGTGTCCCACCTGCTCAATGTGTCCCACCTGCTGTCCCCCCTGCTTTATGTGTTCCACCTGCTCAATGTGTCCCACCCTGTGCTGTGATGTGTTCCACCTGCTCAATGTGTCCCAATGTGTCCCACCTGCTTATGTGTCCCACCTGCTCAATGTGTCCCACCTGCTTTATGTGTCCCACCTGCTTTATGTGTCCCACCTGCTTTATGTGTCCCACCCACTTTATGTGTCCCACCTGCATAATGTGTCCCACCTGCTTTATGTGTTCCACCTGCAATGTGTCCACCTGCTTTATGTGTTCCACCTGCTATGTGTCCCACCTGCCCAATGTGTCCCACCTGCTTTATGTCCCACCTGCTTTATGTGTCCTCAATGTGTCCCACCTGCTCAATGTGTCCCAACCTGCTCAATGTGTCCCACCTGCTTAATGTGTCCCACCTGCTTAATGTGTTCCACCTGCTCAATGTGTTCCACCTGCTCAATGTGTCCCAATGTGTCCCACCTGTATGTGTCCCACCTGCTCAATGTGTCCCACCTGCTTTATGTGTCCCACCTGCTTTTTGTCCCACCTACTTTATGTGTCCCACCTGCATAATGTGTCCCACCTGCTTTATGTGTTCCACCTGCCCAATGTGTCCCACCTGCTTTTGTGTTCCACCTGCTTTATGTGTCCCACCTGCCCAATGTGTCCCACCTGCTTTATGTGTCCCACCTGCTTTATGTGTCCCACCTGCTCAATGTGTCCCACCTGCTTTATGTGTCCCCCTGCTTTATGTGTTCCACCTGCTCAATGTGTCCCACCTGCTTAATGTGTCCCACCTGCTCAATGTGTCCCACCTGCTTAATGTGTTCCACCTGCTCAATGTGTTCCACCTGCTCAATGTGTCCCACCTGCTTATGTGTCCCACCTGCCCAATGTGTCCCACCTGCTCAATGTGTCCCACTTTTTTATGTGTTCCACCTGCTCAATGTGTTCCACCTGCATGTGTCCCACCTGCTCAATGTGTCCCACCTGTAATGTGTCCCAACTGCTTAATGTGTCCCACCTGCTTTATGTGTCCCACCTGCTTAATGTGTTCCACCTGCTCAATGTGTTCACCTGCTCAATGTATGTGTCCCACCTGTGTCCCCACCCTTTATGTGTCCCACCTGCTTTATGTGTCCCACCTACTTTATGTGTTCCACCTGCCCAATGTGTCCCACCTGCTTTATGTGTCCCACCTGCTTTATGTGTTACCTGCTTTATGTGTCCCACCTGCCAATGTGTCCCACCTGCTTTATGTGTTCCACCTGCTTTATGTGTCCCACCTGCCCAATGTGTCCCACCTGCTTTATGTGTCCCACCTGCTTTATGTGTCCCACCTGCCCAATGTGTTCCACCTGCTTTTCTGTATATAGTTGGGACAACATCACATTACATAAATATAAACTTTACAAGACTAACTGAATAGGTTTCAGAAGGACAAAAAAAAAAACTTTCTTCATTCTAAAATAATTGTAGGTACAAAGATAAAGATTATTAGATTAAGGAATTATAAAGTAAATTATACATAAATTTGTGACAATATTTTGTTATTGAGCCTTTGTTAAAATTTAAGAAATATTTCCTACATGAATTTGGAAAATAATATTGAAGCCCAAAAATTAGCTCACAGCAGTCAATTGCCACAACCACAGGAATGAACGTCCCAAACCTCACACTATCTCGGGAAATTTGCACTTTTAGGGATAATATTCCTGAAATATAATGCCATGAAGTCCTAACAAAAAATCTTAGTGTGAAATACAATAGAGTTAGTTGAATCAGGCAAGTATTTCAGTTTCTTGTATATTTAACCTAAGAAAATATCACTGATGACAAAGATACATATTACACAACTTGTCTAATACAGTATTTATAAATAATTACGAGATTATTCCTTTCAAATCCACGATACATTTAAACTCAATGAAACTCTGACACACTTTACACTTTTTTTTCTTCGGTGTTATGAGCCTTAATGCGGAGTGGCCACTTCAGTGTAACACTACTGCTGTCTGTCGCACCACAAGCTTCATAGGTCTTGGCTGAAATAACAGGTACTGATTGACCATACACTGGTCTTCTTTTATTTTCATTTTGTGAACCGACATTCTACACTCGGATGTAAATTTGTTCTGTTCACAACTAAGTGAAGGTAAAGCTGGCTCTCTTACCAGGATATAACAGTAAAACAAGAAACAGACACTAAACAAGAGTGTCAAGCTGTACACCATCCTCTCCACCCAGTGTAATGTTGAAACCTCTAGTCTGACAGTATGCTGACAGCTCTAGTCTGACAGTATGCTGACAGCTCTAGTCTGACAGTAAGCTGACAGCTCTAGTCTGACAGGAAGCTGACAGCTCTGGTCTGACAGGAAGCTGACAGTTCTGGTCTGACAGGAAGCTGACAGTTCTGGTCTGACAGGAAGCTGACAGTTTTGGTCTGACAGGAAGCTGACAGCTCTGGTCTGACAGTTCTTGTCTCTCAGGAACCTGACAGCTGTGGGAGGAATTTAGATGGCTGTTATTGGTGTATCAAGTTAACCCAGGTACAGTATATTATGGTGGTTGTGGGTAAGTACAGTACTTGAACTACACACAGTGTAGCAACATTTAACAATGATAACTAATTCACTGAGAATCATTGTTACATAAAATAAACACAAATCGACCATTCCCAGGCACACAATAAAACCTTCCTGATATTCACAATTTAAAAGACATAAGTTATTTCAACTATAAATGAATCAAACCATTAAAAACCTCCCGATCCATCACAATACTGATGTCACTAATATCAATATTTTTTCTTTATATTCTATTTTCTTTGTGTATTCATAGACACTAATTGCAGTTCAGTGTTGCAACAGCCAAGTTTTGTGATGACAGTCACAGTCATCAGAATCAGTAATAAATCAAGTCCAAGGTAATGCACATAAATTGCAGTTATTTACGCAAGTCCAGAACAAAGACACTTCCATCTGATGCAGATGCTCCCACTTTGTCTCCCCGAGAGTTCCAACACACCTCAAATATGCCTCCAGTTCCTTTGTAGCTGTGGACGAGTTGTCCCGACTGTAAAATAAACAACGCATTAATATTACAAGTGGCTGGCAGAGAGCAAGAAAATCTTGTGAGAATTACTGCAGAATAAATGTTACTGGGTCTCTTGTTTACTGAAGAGAGTTACCTGCCTCTCAACCAGGTGTAGGTTACACCCTATAGCTAACATTACACAGCCTCTGTGTAGTAATAACTATCATAATATAGTCTTCATTACAGTATACATATTTGAAAATGCAATAAAGTGCAAGATATATAACAACAGTGTACATCATCAAGAGTGTCACTCCCTTCTTATAAATATTTTCCTGCCGTGCACAGCATTTAAATCCTGAGCTGGTGCAGTACTGCCAAGCCTATTGGCTCCCAGTCCTATTACAGTACAGTGATCCCTCGGTTAACGAGCGCCTCGGTTAACGAGATTTCGGTTAACGATTTACATTCCATAAGATTCTTAGCTTCGGTTAACGAGCAATCCCTCGATTAACTGAGTTTTTTACAAGCCGACCTCAACATGTTTTCGCTTGCATTTGCCGGTCCACCAGCTGTAGTATTAGTCCGCCAATACAGTAATCGGTTTTAGGGCTTAAATTCCTTACTATTTTAGTAAATATCAAGAAGTTTATACTATTAAATAATTTTAAAAGTTTAATATTAACATTTTGTAGTCATTTTAACAAATATTGAACATAATTGAAGGTAAAGAAACTAGTTTCTGGCGCGCCATCCAGCCTGTTAACACACAAACAGGCTTTAGTCTCTCTCTCTCTTTTCAGTGGAGGTAACATATTGCTTGAGACTCTCTTCAACTAAACGCTTTTTTTCTGTGTTTCCAAACAAATTATTGGTCATTTTCAAATGTATTTTACATATTGACAATATATAATGCAGTGCAGTGTTGATTTAAAGAAAATAATCTTGAATTACACCAAGAGAACTAAAATTTTATGGGTGAAATAGCACCATGGGGTGACTTCTCTTCAACCCCAATACCTTCTCTTCTTCCTTCTCCTCCACCCTAATTCTAATTCCCATCATCATCATCATCATCCAGGAGCCTTCTACATACACACCTCAAAGTAAGTGTACTTTTCTACCTTTTGTGTTGAATTTAGGCAATTTTTGGTGAGCTGGAACCAATTACCCAAAAACCCATTGAAAAAATGGTTTCGGTTAACGAGCAACCTACTGTAACGGATTGTGCTCGTTAACCGAGGGACCACTGTACTTCCGGTCAGTCTTGCAGCCATGTATATACAGGATACATAATGAACTTATTTTCTTCATGCAAATAAAATTATTAATAATATGTATGTAGCAACATAACACATGAAAGAAAAAGTATTTATGAAATAAACACAAGGCTGTATTTTGCTACACGTGGCACACTCAAGGTCAGGGGAGGTATTTTCCGTCCCTCTCGGTTCATTTTACTAATGTTATTCACTTATATTGTAGTACTTAGGTTACTATAACAATACACAGTGTAGAGGGGAGGAAGGAAGTGTGTAGGAGGGCGGGAGAAGTGTGGGAGGGAGGGAGCAGTGTAGGAGGGAGGGAGCAGTGTGGGAGGGAGGGAGCAGTGTGGGAGGAGAGCAGTGTGGGGAAGGAGGGAGTAGTGTGAGAGGGAGGAGCAGTGTGGGAGGAGAGCAGTGTGGGAGAGAGAGCAGTGTGGGAAGGGAGAAGTGTGAGAGGGAGGGAGAGTGTGGGAGGAGGAGAGTGTGGGGAGGGAGGAGCAGTGTGGGGAGGGAGGGAGTGTGGGAGGGAGGAAGCAGTGTGGGAGGGAGGGGGCAGTGTGGGAGGGAGAGAGCAGTGTGGGAGAGGGAGGGAGCAGTGTGGGAGGGAGGGAGCAGTGTGGGAGGGAGGGGGAGCAGTGTGGGAGGAGAAGCAGTGTGGGAGGGAGGAGCAGTGGGAGGGAGGAGCAGTGTGGGAGGAGGAGGAGCAGTGTGGGAGGAGGGAGGAGCAGTGTAGGAGGAGGAGCAGTGTAGGAGGGAGGAGCAGTGTGGGAGGGAGGGAGCAGTGTAGGAGGGAGGGCAGTGTGGGAGAGGAGGGAGCAGTGTGGGAGGAGGAGCATTGGCAGGAGGGAGGAGCAGTGTAGGAGGGAGGGGCAGTGTGGGAGGGAGGAGCAGTGTAGGAGGGAGGGAGCAGTGTAGGAGGGAGGAGCAGTGTGGGAGGGAGGGCAGTGTGGGGAGGAGGAGCATTGTGGGAGGGAGGGAGCGGTGTGGGAGGAGGGCAGTGTGGGAGGAGGAGCAGTGTAGGAGGGAGGCAGTGTGGGAGGAGGAGCAGTGTGGGAGGGAGACAGTGTGGGAGGGCATTGTAGGAGGAGGAGCAGTGTAGGAGGGAGGGGGAGCAGTGTGGGGAGGAGCATTGTAGGAGGGAGGAGCAGTGTGGGAGGAGGGCAGTGTAGGAGGGAGGGGCAGTGTGGGAGGGAGGGGGCAGTGTGGGGAGGGAGGGGGCAGTGTGGGAGGAGGAGCAGTGTGGGAGGGAGGGAGCAGTGTAGGAGGGAGGGAGCAGTGTAGGAGGGAGGGAGCAGTGTAGGAGGGAGGGAGCAGTGTAGGAGGGAGGGAGCAGTGTAGGAGGGAGGGAGAAGTGTAGGAGGGAGGAGCAGTGTGGGAGGGAGGGAGAAGTGTAGGAGGGAGGAGCAGTGTGGGAGGGAGGGGGGCTCATCTCTGCTACTGGATGCATTGTTTGTATAGGTAAATCCTAAGTATGTAGGTGGTGTGACTATTATTAGAACCAAAAAGGTGCTTTGATGCTCCCATGAGCCAATGAAAATTAGTTCATTTACTGCACTTCAACCTTCCATAAGCCACGAGTGGAGCGCTTGTTCACCTCTTGACATCCTTCTCAGCATTTCACTCACACACACATTACTGTTCTCTCCATGACTATTTTTGGGGATAATTTCCATCTTTGTTCAGCCAGGTATTAATGACAAATCTGTGGTGTAATGTTTTGTAAGCCTTGTACATAGTTATTGACAATAATCTTAAAACAAAAAGTAAGTGTGTGTGTGTGTGTGTGACAGAGAGGAAATACCACACAGTATAGGTATAAACATAATATGTCTTCCATAAGTAAACACCTCCACAGTATTTCTTGTTCACTGTTTGTTGTGTACCATGACAAGCCTGTAGACTGTTTGAAAGCTTCCCACTTAAACTGAGATTACGTACCTGAGTTGACCATATGTGGACACATTTATCAAAGCTCCCAGATGCTAGGAACTTGCCATCAGGAGAAAAGGCCACAGAATATACTGGTTCGGAGTGTCTAGTAAGGGTGTGTATGCAGGCTCCACGCTCCACATCCCACAGCCGTACAGTAGAGTCAAATGAAGCACTGTTAATCAATGAAGACTCAGTATGAGTATTAAGTGGAGACTAGGATGGGATATCTACACAACAATGAATTTGATGGTGGTGCAGTGATGGCAACAATGGTGGTTATGATGTAATATTATGATAATGTATGGTATGGGATGGTAACAATAAGAGTGATAGCATCTACCTGAAAGACCTGTTGGCCATGGTTCACCTCTACCTCCCATTCATCAGCTAATTTCTCTACACACACACAATAATACAGATAAAATAAAGAATTGTCTGAAGGACAAACACATTAAGGGAATATACATTCTTTGTACACAAGTAAAAATGCACCCCCCTCCCCGTCCGCAAATGTTATTCGCGTCCACCTTGAGAACCTAACCCCCACGAATTTGGAGGCCACCCTGTATTTTCAATATAACTGAATCAATGCCGAGTGCATTTTCATTTTAATGTATTAATAAAGGAGTCTTTTCTTAACATTACTAATCAGGGGAAATGTGGGGTTAAAAGAACAGATGGAAACCTAACCTAACCGAACCTAACCTAACCAGGTTACTGCACCCTGCATTGATTCATCTTGCTTTGGTTATAAATATGGACACCTGTCCCAGATTATATCTACATCTTGTATGCAATTGTTCTTCCTCTATGAATTTCTTAGTTATCTTATAAAAACACAGCCACATTGTAACACAGTGGCATAAATCATTATAATTTGATTGGAATTATAGAAACAAAAGTAACTTATGATGTGCAAGGATAGATTTCCCTCCTCCGTAAAAACTTGTCGAGACATAGTTGCCGCCATAATCTTGTAAACATTACTCTCGATGATGATTGGCTGTTGTAATGGTGTAAATGAAACATGATTGCCTGGAATTTCATTGTTCGATTCCTTGCTTGGAACTGAAGAAAATGCAACAGCTTACCCGATCTGGGGTTGAAGCTGATGTTCTGCATATGGGTAATCCACTGTAGGAAATCTCAGATCAAGGAACCCTGATTCACCCGCTTGAGCCGAGCTGAAATCCCAGGCATATCTAAGGAGGCGGCGCCAACCTGAGCTGACATCTGTTGGAGTGTCTGGGACTCAGAAATGGGTTCTGAAGTTACCTTGACTGAAGAACTGTCTATCTCCAGAGACTCTGAGGACCTTTGGTGGCATTTTGCTGAAATTTTTGTAGTACCAGGATGGCTGGATGGAGGAAAGATGAAGAGTAGCAGATGTGCCCGCCTCATCCATGTGAACCTCAGCCACTATGAGAGAAGAACGAGGATTGGTGGTATAGAGTTGGGTGTGGGAGCTGAACTTAATAGAAGTACAGATGATTCTTGGGGCATTGTCATAGCAACAGTTAACCAAGCCTTGTGGTCAGGACAGAACCTGTGCATAGGTATCCCCATGACTTGAGACATATTTCAGTGCTGTACTTCTGGCTTCAGCAAAGCTCACTTTGTCTCTTGTGTGGATCTTCAGTACAGGTTTCTCTTTCTCAATTCAGAGCCGGTCACATTCACTATAAGAGGCCAGGTGCACCTCACTACAGAGGCCAGGTGCACCTCACTACAGAGGCCAGAGGTGCACCTCACTACAGAGGCTAGAGGTGCACCTCACTACAGTGAAAACAACAGATCAGACCCAGACATTTGTGACCCTCACCACAGTAAGACCCTGCTCTAACTTACAACAAGTGTGGCTGACACGGCCATACATCTGACAATGGCAGCATCGTCTAGGGTTTGGGATGTATGGTTTCACCTTAATGGAGATCCAGGCAACTGTGATAAGAGGCTGGAATTTCAAAACAGTCAAATGTCAATAACAGAGTTGGTGGAGGATTAAGAATGTCATTTTCTTGCTTGCAAAACCTAACCACTTTTGGTCTTGGAGCTCCTCCAGAAAGTGCTCAGTCTACAATTCTGTTAAGTGCAAATAAAGTTTGCCAAGGCAGGGGCAGAGTATGGAAGAAATGGAGAGACTTTTAAGTACAGTCTGCGCGGAATGTGAGATCGTGTGCTGAAAAAATATGCATATTTACGATTATGTTATATAAATAAAGTCAAGTAACACTTACCACTTCAACTAATACTTTGTGGTGTTTCCTCTGCGCTTCACAGTCTTTTAGCCTTTGAGGAACACTGTCAGCAAGGTTTTGCAAGAGGTCAGGTGGCAAGTTAGCCCAGGTATCCTTGATGGCTGCCTCTAGCTTCGGGATTGATAATGTGTCAGCGTCGCGCAGACGACGTTTAACAATGAACCACAAATTTTCCACTGGTTTAAGATCTGAGCTACTGCCAGGCCAGTCATTAAAGAAAGGTACCTCACAGTCTTTGAGCCACTGTATGACACTTTTAGCAGTGTGGCATGGGGCACCGTCCTGCATGAAAAGGCTTGCCTTAGCTTTATCAAATGATTCAGGTAAGAAATCATTGAGCAGTTCAAGATAGTTGTACTGATTCTTCATCTGGTTCTTAGGGAGGATTACTAGTTCACCAACACCATAATATGTAAAGGAAGCCCAAACCATAAGCGAGGCAGGGTGCTTAACAGTCTTTACAGTGTATTGTGGGAGGCGCGCGTCTGAGTGGGGCGGGCGGTACACCCTCCCTCCATTACTCCCAGTCACAGAAAACGTACCCTCGTCGGACCACAATACACTCCTCCATGTCTCTAAATCTCACACTTCATATTTCTTGCAAAATTTCACTCTATTTTCCTTGTCTCTTTGTCAACAGAGGTTTACGGCGGGCATGAAAGCTCTTAAATCCCAGGTCATCGTGCAGGGCTTGTTGAACACAACACAACGAGATGTGACTCAGAAGACGGGGGTTTCTCTCTTTCACTTCACGTGCTGTGAGTGAGGGATTGGACCGAACTTGTCGAGAAATAACCTTAAGTGTCCGTGGAGACAATAATTTAGGCCTCCCAGAGTTAGGTAATGGAGCTGGTAACTCGTCCTCTCCAAGGTCACGGAAACGTTTGACAAGATTTTGAACAACTCGTAATGCCAAACCAGTCTGAGCCGAAATTTCTCTCAGTATATGGTTCGCTTTGTACAATGCAATCACTGCTGCAATATCGTCTCTTGTAGTAACCCTCCTGGACATCTCTGATGGCTAGTATGTCGGGTTAATGCACCTTAAACTAGACAAAACACGGCCACATGGTGCGGGAAACAGCCCAATAAATCTTCCCCTCACAGTTGCCAGAGGCGCACTGACTACAAGCTGTGACGTGTTCTCAGTTGCCAAATGTCACCACTTGCCAGAAAACCAAGCATTTTGACATCTCGCATCCCAGGACAGCCTTCACAACATATGATCTTATTTTTGCGAGAACTTAGTTCGTCGGCCCTATCGAGGTTTTAATATTCCGCGCAGACTGTATATAGACTGAAGACAAAAATCTGAAGCATACTCATTGAGCTCTCTTATTGTTCAAACAAAACAGTGTTATCTCCACCGCCCCATAACCATTAACTTTTGAGGAAGACATCCCAGAGAATACCTACACTGAGGATTAACCATGTACTCTAGTACAGTACTTGAAGCTCATTCCTTGTAATTACTCTTCATTAACAGGATGCCAATGTTTATTGTTCATCTTAAGTTATGTAACATATAGCCATAACATACAGGCAGTCTTTAGACAAGATACATCAAAAAAAGTTAGTTCATGTAATTGACAAAATATAGCATAATTACCTGGCAAGGATGAGGTTCATACTTGGGTTATTAGTACCAGGTCCAGTTGGTGACCATTTGATGGTGTAGATCTCTTTACTGTGCGCTTGTAGGTCGTAACACATGTATCCTGACCAAATCTGTAATAAAACACTTCTCTTAAATAATATGTTTTAGCAAGTCTTAACATTATAAAATCATAGTTACAAGAGGTAACAAGTCCTAACTACTGCATAGTTACTAGGGTGTGTCAATTTAGGGGGTGAACTGGCTAAATTGAAAATCGAGTAATTTGGTAGCAATTTATTGTAGTCTTTAAGCATGCAAAACAATATTCTGGCATAAATTTTTTTTTATAATAAGTCCTACCTACATCAAATGGATTTTTAAATGTACATATTTGTGAATTTATAACATAACCAGCGTTTGCACACATGTTACTGTTTCAAGTTTCAAATTATTATATTTTATTATCTGTAGTCTATTTGAAAGTAACCAATGCCTTCATACTCTCTTTGCTTTGGTTTCTTGTCATCAGTAGTCTGCTTGCTATTTGTGCTTTGATGTAACCTTCTCGCCTCTCGTGGCTGTAAACATGGCCCGCTGCTTCTGTGACCATTTTCACACATCTCTCAACACTTTGAGTGTGGGAAGGCCACTTCGGCACCTGCATTGGAGTCTCTTTAAGGTTTCTCAATTCTTGGCTAGTTAGACTTGTTGTCAATGGTGGCTCTAAGACTTCCAAACTCAAGTCAACCAATTCTGACAATTTGGTGGCATTGACGTTTATTGGGGGAACTTTTCTTGAATGAAGCGAACAGTCTCCCAACTGGTCGTCATCTATTAGCGTTCCTCTAATCTTTAGAATGACTTCTACAGCCTCGGTTCGGAGATTGGTACATTGACTGCAAAGCATTGCTTGCAAAACTGCTTCTGATCGAGCATACCAAGCGGACCTTCTTGCCACAGGTAACACGATGTCCCTCACTACCTTCCTCTGTGTTCTTACTAGCTGCAATTGAAACAAAAGGTGATTGGGCCCATCCACCCACATAGGATTAAGTTTCACACTAAACCACTGGGGAAGATAAACTCCAATAATAAATTCAACAATTAACCTCCAATTCTTCAGCACTTTGCCCTTCAATTCGTGTTTGGAAATCCAAATCCTGCAGAAACGAAGAGCTGTAGTTAACCAACGGCTGTGACTGACAGGTCCAATCTCCAAGAGAGCCAATGACTGAGGCACTTCTCCTGATCTTATTGCTTGGGCAATACGATAAGCATAGGATTGATCTGTGCTGAGATCTTTGATGACTCCTTCAGACAACGCCGGAAGGGGAGGGCCAACTTCGACCTTTGGAAAGGTTGTATTTATTTCTAGTTGTGTTGCTTCATCCAGCATGATGCCAAGGGGACCTGACCACTTGTTGGTGCTCTTTGTAGGACCATCAAGTTCCTGGATGAGATGACGAAGAGGTAGCTCGCCTGTATGTAAATCACATACAATCCAAACAAGTCTTCTTCCTAGTTTTTTCTCTAAATGCGTCATTACACCCCCTGCCATCCGGTGTTCACTGCAGTTGAATCTCCACCAACAGCCTGCAGTGAACTGCCAAGTCCTCTCTCCTGAACCCAACATAAAATATGATCAACAATGACCTCTGCATGTTTCTTCCCTTCTACTTCAGTTTCGGGAGCAAAGTGAAACAAAAACCGACCACCAGGCTCAGAACAGACAGAGTAGTGTTCTTCTTTGATGAGACCTGGAAACTTTCTGTTCACTCCCTCTACTTCTAGCAAAACTTTTGTGTCATCTATTCTTCCATCAAACAAAAGACAGGAGAGCCCTCCCTCGCTTAAATCTTTTTCATGCTGATCAGATATTTCCTTCATTATTTTTTCTTGTGCTCTTCTAATTTTATTATGATCTATCACCAAAGATACATCCTCTCGGCTGATGAGGCCTGCATCTATCCAAGCGGCAGTTGCAATTTCTGCAGCCTCACGAAGTCCAGCATGGTGGCGAATACTAGCTAAAGCAATGTTTGAAATATTTCTTGTGTTGTATTTCATTTTCTTTGGTAAAGGTTCAGATGGCTCTTTGGAACTATCATCTGATGTTGCTTCCTGTTCATCAGAAGAACTATCAAAGAAGTGATAAACATCTTGACACAGCTCTTCCTCTCTTTGGATGGCTTCTTCACTCTTCATTTTCTTCTTTTGTTCCCTCTCTCGGATTTGTTCTCTCTTCTTGGCATTAGCAATCTGCTTCTTTGTTTCTGAATAATCTATTGAACCCATTTGCATACTTCCTTGGCCTTCTGCCTTTGTCCTCTGTGCCTTTATAAATTCAAGCTCTAAAACAGGGATCTTCTTTTCACGAGGACAACCACAATCAATGTGGGAATTATTTTCTCTCTTACCTGAGTGAGAACAGTTGGATTCAGAACATAATTGTATGGAGCACTTGCAGGTCAAAATGTCAAACAGAGTATCAAGTGTGTGCAGAAATTCATTTTTCCTGGCCAAGTTTCCTTTACCAAGTGATGTTTCAACTGCTTTGTGCCATAATTTCGTTAGTTTTAGCTCAATAGTTCGACACTGATTAATCACAGGTGGTTTGAATAGTGCATTAGCTTTTGTCCATTGATGCAGAAGAGGGACTATCATGTCATTTATGAGTTCTTTATCTGTATAGTTCCTTCTGTCCTTTGCATTTTTTTCTCGAAGGAGTAACCCTAATCTTAGCATGTCTCTCACTGTTGGAAGTTCTGATACAGGAAGCTCCTTCCCTTTACCAACTAGCAGGCTCAAGTGGGTTGACAACTGACTTCTTGTCTTCAATTTTGACATCTTCACACTATCTGACAAATAGAAAAATATTTCAATGTTTCATAATTCAATTGTTGTTTCAAAAAATATCAATTTGTTTATCAAAAATGCTGTAACAGAAATAACATAATAATTTCTTAGAACATAATGTTTTATACAATGATATAAGTAACTGCGACAATCAATATGCCCTACTTACAATAATTAAAATGTAGAATTCGTCTGGTAGAGTAGGTGCAAGTGCAATGAGAGCAAACCACCGTCTATGATATCTAGAAGGAGAGTGAGCCGGGCGCCTTATCCTCACGCTTGGTACAAGTCAAAACAAGAATTAAACTGTCCCACACGGAGAGCCTGTTCATGTTCATGTTCTGACATGCATATTGTACACAAGCTATAGAACCATAAAATACTCCATAATCCATATGCTTACATGAGATTAGTTAATATCAAGTGAATAATTCAAATCAAGTCTCATTAATTTGTTGAAATACTGATATTTGAAACTTTAAGGTATAATTGATGTAGGTGAGGGTTATTTCAATTCATTTTTGTTTGCTAATCTCAAGTTTAGACATAAAGAGGCACAATATTTTGACTACCAAATTTGATTTTTAACATGTTGACAAAATTGACACACCCTAATAGTTACCTTTATAAACAAACTGTCCCAACTACATGCAATTTTCAAATTTACTCACATGGGAACCTCTATTACTACTGTAATTTTTTTTCCCAATCAAATATTCAAAGTTCGCAACTGAGGCTGTAGTGAACCAGGGTCAGCACACTTGGTGAGCAGGTTCCCACTGTGACCCAGAAAGCTCAGTTGGTTGGTTTCCATTTCAATAATGTACCAATTTCAAGCAAATTTAGTTATGAAAAGTCTGTTTGGTAATGAAAAATATGGTTTAGTAATGATATATATATAATTCAGAAATTTTGATGGGATATTTAGAGTCTGTTATTATTCAGGATCTGGATATAATGGACTTTAGGCTGCAATGAACCGGCCTTCCCCCAATTAGCTTGTTATATCGGGGGTTTGTTGTAATTAAATTAAAAAACTATTTTTGTATTAAAATAATTGTGTTTAGTTAAATAAATACAGTATACAGCTCCTCCCCGACTTACGAACTACTTGACTTACGACCACCAGGACATACGACCGCCTCAATCGTACCAAAATTTTGTCAAATTACGTATTTTCGAGTCCCAACGTCAGTGATTGCGCTGTGTACTGACAAAATTTTCGTTTGTAATTCACTTTAAATGGCTGGCAAGCTTAAAAGTGAGAGTTTTGTGGTGCTGAGAAGAAAAAGAGACACCCATTTTAGATTTTCTATGTATTATTTAAGCATTTTCGACTTACGACCTGGATTTGGGTCCCTAACCCCGTCGTAAGCCGGGGAGGAGCTCTATTATTTTTTTTTTTTTTTACTAGATTTCAAATGGAGGGATTTTGGGGGCCATCAGGCCATGAACAAAAATTTATTCACAGGACTATCTGTTCTCTACACAACTTAACAAATAAAAGATTTTTAAACAAAATATTTCAACACGGTGTAATGATGGGGATTTTAATCTTTTATAAACGAGATAATTATTTGATCTCACCTTGAGAGTCATGTCGTCAGAACACGAAGCAAGAAGATTACCCTGTGGGTCCCACTTGATGGCGTTGACTTCATTGGTGTGTCCCTGGAAGGATTTTATTGGCTTATCCTGACCCAGCTGACAAACATGTATGCACTGGTCAGTAGAACAACTGGCAAATGATGTGTTTGTTTGCCAATCTACATCTAAGGCGGGAGCCGAGTGGAAGGCAAACTGTTGCGTGCAGTGTCCTGAGGATGCATCCCAGATGATCGTAGTCTGAGATGATAAAATACGTGACTTATTAGTAAGCGACAAAAAGTATAATAGAAACATTGCCTGCAAAAAAAAATATATATATATTGTACAGCAAACCCTTGTTTCTTGTGGGTTTGCCATTCAATGTTTTGACTATTCACAGTAAGCAGATCGTGGACCATTCACGATCCTCTGTGGAAGAACTGTAAGTCACCCCAACATGCACCCATAGTGTCTCCTCTCAACCATTGTCTGCACCGTGGCATCTCTCTGTTGTGCTCCAAACTCTTGTGTTTTAGGTGTGAAACTGTCCTTAAAAGACTGCCAAGTTCTAGTGATGCTACAGCAGTGACACACAAAAGGCACAAGTCAGTGATGACTCTTACCAAGAAAGTTCAATTATTAGAGAAGTTAAAGGAAGGAATGAGCGCCGCCATGCTTGGCCGGTCGATTAATGCGAACGAATCCACAATACTGGATGACGGGTTTGAACAATTACCACCAACTTGAGAACAGTTCTCTGTACTGTATAAATGTTTTCTTACCTCAAGAAATAAGTTTTTCTTTATATTTTATGATTTTTTCCATGGGTGAAACTAAATCTGTCTAAGATGTAAACACTGGTGCTGCTGAGTCACTTTAAAGATAATAAAACACATTTTAATTATCCAGAAATAATATCTTCTACAAACTTAGTTCATTATATCTTTGTCTGCTTTATTACTCACAATATGATACTTACACCAGTCAGTGACAATGGATTACATTTATCAATGTTTACTCAAAGTGCTGTTAATGTTTCTTATTTGTGCTGTGTACGCGCTGTGCACAACAGCCTGTAAGGTTATACAATATTATTTTCTTATTTTGTATTTATTTATTTTTTTTTTTACGGGGAACAGCCCACCCGGGTACAGGTCATTGACCCACAACATGCCAGTATGCTTCAAACATTTCCTGTACAGTAGTCTATCACCAAAGAACTTTACAGTAAGCGACAATATCTGAGTTTAATTGGTGTTCCAAAAATTATTTGGAAAAAAAAGTATCACAAAAATAATACTGTATCACAATAAACTTATTCCTTCCCATGATCTGGGTCCCTATGTAAGATAACAACATACAGGCATCCCCACGTTATGGAACTCTGCATTACAAAAACCAGAGTTACAGAAATTCGTGCTTACAGAATTTGAAAATTATGACCAAAAATATTGGGAACAGCTCCCCCCACACACACAAAAAAGAGGGGGGGAGGGAGGAAACAATTTATAACCAAAATTTTGACCGGAATTGGTCAAATTTATTGTGTGTAGATTCTAGGTGGTAGCTACAAGACACTTACGGACCGACAACAATAGCAACGGTTTTGGTCAGTTTATTCATTCACCACTCTGTTAAATTTTGCCCCTGTGTTTAGGACTGTATTACTGGGTATTCCTATTCAAGATGAGTGGAAAGAGGCCATGAAGCGCACGCAAGTGGTAGTGAAAGATCACGTAGAGGAGTGACGTTAAGAAATAAAACTTGATGTGCTGAGGAGGTTTGATGGGGGAGAAAAACTCAGCTACGTCGCCAAAAGCTGCTACTCCTTTAACTGCCTGTACATTGTACTTTCATCAAAGTGATGTGATACTTAATATGGAATGCCTCCTGAGTGTGTGGATTGAGGATCAAACTAAACAAAATGTGTCATAAACACTTTGATCATTCAGGAAAAAGCAAAAAGTTTGTATGATGATTTAGTTAAGGAACAAGGTGCAAATTCTGATGCTCAACTTTTTCATGCCAGTAAAGGTGGTTTGAAAGGTAAAAAAATGCCTAAATTTGCATAATATTAAGATGGTCACTGAAGCAGCCAGTGCTGATACTGAAGCTGCAAAACTGAAGGCAATTATTGAAACAGATGGCTACACGCCAGAACAAGTGTACAATGTCAATGAAACTGGCCTGTTTTGGAAGCACATGCCTGCCAGGACATTTATTTCAAGCAAAGAATAGTCAGCACCAGGATACAAGGCTTCAAATGGTCATCTAATGCTTCTGTTGCAAGGTAATGCTGCTGGAGTTATGAAGTTAAAGCCCTTGCTTGTGCACCACTCTGAAAATCCCAAAGGCTGTCAAGGGCTACACCAAACCAAACCTAAACTAACAGTGATATGACGTTCTAATAGGAAGGCATGAATGACTGCCAGCCTGTTCCAAGATTGGTTCACAAATTATTTTTTCCAGTAGTAGAAAGGTACAGTGACAGTAGAAATATTTCCAGCAAGGCTCTACTCCTGTTAGATAATGCTTCCAGCCACCAAATTAACCTAAATCAACTTTCTACAAATGTCAGAGTGGAATATATGCCCAAGAACACAACTGCCTTGTTACAGCCAATGGGACAACGTGTGAGTGCCAGCTTTAAGGCCTACTATTTACATAGAACATTTAAACAACTCATAGTAGCAATTGACTAGGAGGATCAACAATCAGTCAGGGATTTTTGGAAGAATTTAACATCATGAACACTGTGGAAAACGTTGCCGAATCCTGGGACGAGCTGAAAATAACAACAATGAATGATGTGTGGAAAAAGATCTGGCCAGAATACATCCATGACTTTCAAGGTTATCTCCAAATTGAAACAGCAAATGAAGTTCAATAAGAAATTGTAAAACTGGTAAATGGTGCAGGGATTGAGGAAGTGGATCAAGATGGTGTGGTTGAGTTGCTAGAGTCACACAGAGAAGATCTGTCCAGTGAGGATGTGATGTTGATGGAACAGGAGCAAGCTGCTGGCTAAATGGTTTAGTCTTATGGAGGAACTTTAAAAATCTTTGCTACTAATGATCCCAATCATGAATGTAGCCTCAAATTGACAAGAAACAAGGAGAACCTCCTCGGTGGCTACGAGAAGCTGTACAATGATAAAATGCACCGTCAACACTAAACAATTTAGACAAATTTTTTGCCCCAAGACCACAGCCTGCAGCAACTGAGGCAGATGATGATGATATGCAGGGGGAGGCAGGAGTGACCCACTGTCTCCCTCCCAGTAACTCCAAGTGCACCACCTCACCTCACCTCACTCAGCACTAAACACCATTTCTGGTAAGTTAAATGTGCATGTTTTGTGCATTTAATACGTTACATCATGAATGAATCTTTGAATGCGTTTAAAAATGTCTATTTTTTCCAGAGGAATGCCCCTCAACTTATATAATGGGAGTCAATGAGAAAACTTGTTCTGCATTATGGAATTTTGCAACAAGGAAAAATTTTAAGGAACAGAATCCTTCTGTAATCTGTGGATGCCTGTACAGGAATACCCCGATAACTAACTCATATACGGACTAGGAAAAATTGTTGGTTAGTGAATCAACGGTTATCAAGACAATTAATCCCATAAGAACATAACATATTCAGGGTGTTAAGGACCGGCCACCCTCCAAAACTCCCATCTACCCTTGATATATCTCTGTACTGTACACTGTCAAGCAAGAAAATAAACCAAACATAATAAGCCTTAAATAAGTAATGTAAAGCATAAATTGAGACTATCATTTACCTGTGTTGAGGATGGTAGAGATGGTCTAGGGTGACAAGTTCAAGTCTCTACCACTCTTTGGTGGTTCATTCTTATTATGCCTTATTACATCACATCAAGCTGCCCAGCACAAGAGGAACTATCACTGGGGTGTTTAAGTATGACTGAGTGATACACTAAGTCAGAAATAACAAAAAAACACAAAGTCAGAGACACACAGTAAGTGTAAACAAAAACAAAGATGGCGGAATGAGTCAGAGGCAGTGTTTAACACGCCTCTGGTGGCAAGAATTTGCACCACACCAGCTCTGCCGATCGTTGGATCTCCAGGGTATCTACAAAACTTGCGGGGTATTTTCCCTATATGTAATCGGCGGTTGTGCCAATCGGCGGTCAACGGGAGTGTCGGTTATCGGGTGTCACTTATATATCCTAAAATCAGTTATTTCACCAATTTGCTAAAAACTTGAGGGGCTTTTACATATCAGGGGACATGAAATTGCTGAACATTTTTGGGGGTTACTGTACACAAACTCCCTATTTAGAGATTCCTTGTAACCTAAGACACACTGTGCATAAAATGTTCAACTTGTTATCTCGGCAATTTGTGAATTTCTACACCTTTAATATCATTATTTAGCATTTTCCTTGACCCAACCCACATCTATACAGTACAGTACAGTAATGTATTCAAAGAGCCAAGACAGTAGGCAGATAGACAGTATGGGTATAGCTCAGGTGGCAGTGTAGTGTTCAGGGTTCCTAACCAACCCAAGGCAGATGTTCAGTCTTGGGCCCAGCAAGATTATGTAGGCTGGTGTTGGCCTCTCCAGTCATGTTCCTGGACCAGCTCACCCAAGGGTTACACAAACTGAGAGCAACAGTTGGAGGACAGATGGTACAACTTCTTCACAACAAAACACTCATTATTCATAGGACTTAAACATTCTCAAAATGGGACCATAACTGATCACAAATAAATTTCTTATAACTTTAGCTTTTAAATAAATATAATATTATTTGAACCAATCATTCTCAACCATCTCTGGTAGGTGACATTGACTACTAATAAAACACTCAACACCTGACAACAGTATTACCACAAGAGGCACTACTAAAATCAGAAATGTTTGAGACTAAAGAAATTTTGGGTTAACTGAAGGTTAAATTAATACAGTACAGTATACTATAATATGAATAAACAAAGTAGCACACTAAGTGAAGAGAGCTTTCCTTATTTACCTCTGCAGCCAGCTACAATACTTGGCAGCTCAGTCAACAAGCAGGTGTGTGGCAAATTAACAGAGTACTGTAGTTAAATATGTCACACTTAATGTTTACTCATATCTTTAAGTTTCCACATTATTGATGTTTGGACTTTTGAAGAGCAGCTGCAGTTTATAAGTTTCTTTAGCACCTACTGTACTGTACAAGCTTTAGTACTGTACTAACAAGACCGGGAGATAATGACCAAGTGTGGTGGACTGAATGACTAGAAGACACATACAAATTTACATGTGTACATACAGCCACATGTAGCCACACTTACACACATGTATAGCCAAACTTACACACACACACACACACACACGTGTAGCCACACTTACACACATGTATAGCCAAACTTTTACACACACACACACACACACACGTGTAGCCACACTTACACACACACGCATACATGTGAAGCCACACACAAACACATATGTAGCCACACACACACACGCGTAGCCACACTTACACACACACACATGTGCCAGCGACCCCAAGTGCCAGAAACAAGGACACGCGGTGTTTACGATTGACAAATGTTAACAGATGTCCACCAGTGTCAGTGGCCCTCAAAGTGCCGCCAGTGAGTTTATGGCCACGGGAAAAAACACTTCCGTCCATCCACAACAACAGATATCAACAGATGGCCACCAATCACTTACTCCCGGCGCTCCCTGTACCATCTAAAGCGTGGGAACGGTTATCCTGATGGCAGTGTTATCGCTCGACTCGAGTCACTGAACATATTCGATGCGTGCAGCCGGTGACAGGGGCGTCACAAACAAAAGCCCACTAGGACCACAACCTCCACTAGGAAACCAGACACCCACCCCTGACAGACAGTACCATTACACTGAAGTCCCATGGATATGGTATGATCTCCCGCCTTGATCGCTCTCCGACGTCACATCCCTAGCTAACAAGTTTGACGAGCTGGCAACCACAGTTCGGTCAGTCGCTGCCAACGTCGTAGCCATATGTGAGGCTTGGCAAATTGTTCCTGAAACGTGTCATATTGAGGGATGCCAACTCTTTCATCACCTTCGTTCACATAGACGCGGAGGGGGCGTTGCCCTCTTCTGTCAAGATGACCTACGCCCGTCACGCCTGGATATTCAAGTCCCAGCAGATGTGGAGGCATTATGGGGGCGTGTTGTGCCACGTGCCCACCCGCGCCACACTGCTTCTATCATAATCTGTGTGTCATACCATCAGCCTCGCTCACCCACCAGACACTCTTATTAATCACCTCATTACCACCTCAGAGTTAGGAACCCATGTGTCAAGCTAGTATTATGCAGGGATTACAATGAAATTGACACCACTGATATCCAGGACCAGTTGTTACTATCACAAGTTGTGAACTTCCCCACACACGGTCAAAATACCCTTGACCTTATCTAACCAATGCCTCCTATAGGGTGTAGCACACACTTATCAGTGCTCTGGTCCCCTGCTGCCACTCCCACTCAAGTACAGAGACCCTACATCAAGACCTACAGGCCGATTACTGACTCTGCAGTGCGTCTCTTCGGGCAGTGGATAGTTCACCATCCCTGGACTGAAGTACTTAATGTGGATGACGTGGACACCAAATGGATAAATTATACCAACACTACCACAGACTCTTACCACCACTTCTTCCCCGAGAAGTCCGTCAGATCACACCCAGCTGACTTGCCCTGGATCACACCTCGGATCAAAAGACTTATGCAACAGAGAGACGGCGCCTTTTATCTCAATGACCACAACCGCTACAGGTCTCTTTGCAGCCGATAGATATAAGAATAGCACCACCCCATCTATTGTTAAAATAATAAACAACTCCTGATTTATGCTCTCTCTCTCTCTCTGGAAACATGTCAACAATTCCACCATTGGGATCAGTGTCAACAATTCTGCTCCCGACTATACCGCCCTCCAAGATTTATTGAAGTCTCCAAAACTGGGCCACCAATAACCACTTCACCAGACTCACCATCAACCATACCAAGAGCCATGGTTATGCACATCAACCTCCCCTCCGACATTGTCCCACCCCCTTCCATTGCTTTAGGCCCCAACACACTCCAGGTTGTAGATTCCACTAAGCTCCTCGGCGTCACCATACACAACAAACTAAATTGGAAAACACACGTCAGTGAACTTGTCAAATCCTCCAGTGTCCGTCTCCACCTCCTCCGCCAAGTCCCTCGGAGTTCCTGCCCCCGAGCTCCTCAGTGTTTACTCAACATTCATACTTCCCAAGCTCACCTATGCCTCCCCTGCCTGGTCTTCCTCCCTAAATGCCACACAACGTAAACACCTAGAAAAACTGCAGAAGAGGGCACGCGAGATTATTCTCTCCCCTTCCTACTCCACATATCAAGAAGCGCTCAACACACTGACCCTCTCAGCTCTCTCTGACCATCACCACGACCTCATCTGTAAATTTGGTGAGAAGCTTCTGCACCATCCTCGACACCGGCTCCTACTACCACCTGAGGTCCCTCGTCCGAGAATTGCTGTTCGACACCACAACTGCATCAAGTCTATACGAGCACGAACTGATTACTATAAGAAAAGCCCAGTCCCAACCATTGTAAAAAATATCAATAACTTGTAATCAACCAGTGTATTCACACCCAGTCAATCTTACCTTTTTGCACTGTCACTGTGTTGAGATGCCCCGTGGTTTGAGCTTCTCCCCACCTAGTTATTATATATCATATTTGTATCACTTAAGTTACTTGTACAGTATATTATTGGTCAATCAACTGACCCATTCCCCAGTTATGTAACTACAGTGATCCCTCGGTTAACGAGCGCCTCGGTTAACGAGATTTCAGTTAACGATTTACCTTCCATAAGATTCTTAACTTCGGTTAACGAGCAATCCCTCGATTAACGAGTTTTTTACGAGCCGACTTCAACATGTTTTCGCTTGCATTTGGCGGTCCACCAGCTGTAGTATTAGTCCGCCAATACAGTAATCGGTTTTAGGGCTTAAATTCCTTACTATTTTAGTAAATATCAAGAAGTTTATACTATTCAATAATTTTAAAAGTTTAATATTAACTTTTTTAGTCATTTTAACAATTACTGAACATAATTGAAGGTAAAGAAACTAGTTTCTGGCGCGCCATCCAGCCTGTTAACACACCAGACAGGCGTTAGTCTCTCTCTCTTTTCAGTGGAGGTAACATATTGCTTGAGATTCTCTTCAACTAAACGCTTTTTTTCTGTGTTTCCAAGCAAATTATTGGTCATTTTGAAATTTATTTTACATATTGACAATATATAATGCAGTGCAGTATTGATTTAAAGAAAATAATCTTGAATTACACCAAGAGAACTAAAATTTTATGGGTGAAATGGCGCCATGGGGTGACTTCTCTTCCACCCCAATGCCTTCTCTTCTCCCTTCTCCTCCACCCCCATTCTAATTCCCATCATCATCATCATCATCATCCAGGAGCCTTCTACATACACACCTCAAAGTAAGTTTACTTTTCTACCTTTTTTGTTGAATTTAGGCAATTTTCGGTGAGCTGGAACCAATTACCCAAAAACCCATTGAAATAACGGTTTCGGTTAACGAGTTTTTCGGTTAACGAGCAACCTGTTGGAACGGATTGTGCTCGTTAACCGAGGGACCACTGTATATATTTTCAGCCTTCCGGCTGCCATGCTCTTTCAATAAACTGTTAATTATTACACCCCCCGACCACTGGAAGGTAAGACCTATGGGGCGCCCAGTCCTGCTGCGGAGCTGCCCCTCGACCTACCATTTCCCAAGTCCCTCTCCTCAATCCATCCTCACCACCAGGATATCAACATAATCTTGCCAAAAGTGATAATTTCGTTTTTGAAAGAAGTGGAATCAGTGATGAACAGTGTTTAAGCCAGTAAATTTTGCACCAGACAGTACCAGTGTGAGCTGTGACCCATCAGTGAGATCCACACTCAGAGATCAGCACCCTTGGGAACCCACCACCATCTCCCTGACCAGGCAGTGTTAATCAGTCCACCCTGGGAACAACCGTTGGTTGGCTTTACACCTGACCATAACACAACACCACTTTGCAGAGAGGGAGGTACTGTGACACCACACCACACCACCCAGCATCTCCATGACCACATGAGGTCCTTCATGTCACACAGTAGGACATGAGACCAGCCCCGGCCATCAACTGTAAACTATAATTCGTATGTTCAATTCGTGTTCCTTCTCCTTTTAATAATGAAAGCTTTTGTTAAACAACCCACCTATAGGTAGAAGGTAGATAGGCAGCTACCAAACAGGGAGGTACTACCGCCTGGGAAGATAATGGAAGCATAATGTGTTGTCTAATGGTAGACCCTGCTGCCATATGGCGCCACAAAAATTGTGACCAAGTCCCAGGTTGCTGATCTGACTTTCTGCCTCATTTACACACAATTGCAGGGTCTCAACAGTTTCTCTTATATACCATTGACAACACAACATACATATATTGTTTCTCACTCTTTGATCTTTTTGGATTTATGTATTTCTTTATGGTTCTTTATTATTATTATTATTATTATTACTTATTTTTGCCCCCTAGGCCCTAAAAAAAAAAATGTGCTAGTATGTATGTCCAATGTATATTTTCAGCCTTCGGGCTGCTTAACTTTTTCAATAAAACGTTAATTGTTATTATTATTATTATTACAGTATTATTATTGTTATTGTTATTATCTCTCTCTCACGCACGCACACAAAAGTAAAGTATCAGTGTGTTAAAAAAATGTCAGTTACCTTGTCAACTCCAGCACTCAAGATATAGTTGCCTTTTTTATTCCACTTTAGTGCAAAAATAGGACCTTTATGCTGGCCCAAGGTCGACGCTAACCGGCCGTCGGTCATCCAGATTCTTGCATAGCCGTCGTAGGATCCAGTTGCTAGCAGAGTTCCATCACACTTGAATAAACGATCATAACAGATTTTACAAGAAAGCTGTAGAAGAAGCTATCTGACACATTCTAAACTTGAGATGAAGGTCTTAGTTAAGTTTAAAGAGTGACATAAAGCCTTCCCTCTGACCTGTTAGAATAGAATGCCAATTAAATTCATGACTTGTTCTCCTATATGATACGACACTGTATAGTAAATATTGATTACAGTATAACAGTGATGATTGAGGACAAGTAAGTGTTAAACCACATTTAACTTGTACAAGCTGACCACAACCTTAACAACAAGATGAAGGATGACTGAACAGTAGAGGTTAACAATAAACACTAACAAAAGGGTGGACACAAACACACTTCAACTTGGCCTAAATCCTAGATCACTCCTTTATGAGGTGAGCAGGACATTATGAAGAGAGCAGAACATTATGAGGTGAGCAGAACATTATGAAGAGAGCAGGACATTATGAAGAGAGCAGAACATTATGAAGAGAGCAGGACATTATGAAGAGAGCAGGACATTATGAAGAGAGCAGGACATTATGAAGAGAGCTGGACATTATGAAGAGAGCAGGACATTATGAAGAGAGCAGGACATTATGAGGAGAGCTGGACATTATGAGGAGAGCAGGACATTATGAAGAGAGCAGGACATTATGAAGAGAGCTGGACATTATGAAGAGAGCAGGACATTATGAAGAGCTGGACATTATGAAGAGAGCAGGACATTATAAAGTGAGCAGGACATTATAGAGAAAGGACAATATGAGGAAGCAGGACATTATGGAGAGCAGGACTATGAGAGAGCAGGACATTATAGAAGGGCAGACATTATATGAAGTGAGCAGGACATTATGAGGAGAGCAGGACATTATGAGGGAGAGCAGGACATTATGAAGAGAGCAGGACATGAGAGGAAACAGGACATTGAGGGAGAGCAGGACATTATGAAGAGCAGGACATTATGAAGAGGCAGGACATTATGAAGAGAGCTGGACATTATGAAGGAGCTGGACATTATGAAGTGAGCAGGACATTATGGGGAGAGCAGGACATTATGAAGAGAGCAGGACATTATGAAGGAGCAGGACATTATGAAGAGGTTGGACAATATGAAGAGCAGAACATTATAAAGTGGAGACGGACATTATGGGAGGCAGGACATTATAGGAGAGCAGAACATATGAAGAGAGCAGGACATTATGAGGAGAGCAGGACATTATGAAGAGCAGGACATTATGAAGAGAGCAGGACATTATGAAGAGAGCAGGACATTATAAAGAGAGCTGGACATTATGAAGAGAGCAGGACATGAGGAGGCAGGACATTATGAAGAGGCAGGACATTATGAGGAGAGCAGGACATTATGAAGAGACCAGGACATTATGAAGAGCTGGACATTATGAGAGAGCTGGACATTATGAAGTGAGCAGGACATGATGGAAGAGCAGGACATGATGAGAAGAGCGGGACAGTATGAGGAGAGCAGGACATGATAAGAGAGCTGGACATAGGAGAGCGGACTTTTGGGAGCAGGACAGATGGGGAGCAGGACATATGAAGAGGAACGGACATGATGAAGCAGAACATTATGAAGAGCTGGACATTATGGAAGAGCAGGACATTATGAGGAGGCAGGACATGATAGGAGGAGCAGGACATTATGAAGAGCAGGACATGATGAGAGAGCAGAACAAAGCGGACATTATGAAGAAAAAGGAGCAGGACATTATGAAGAGAGCAGGACATGATGAAGAGGCAGGACATGGAGGCAGGACATGCATGAAGACGGACATGATGGAAGAGCTGGACATTATGAGGAGGCAGGACATGAGGAGGAGCAGGACATTGAGGACAGAGGGACATAGAAACAGAACATATGAAAGAGACTATGAACAACATTATGAAGAGAGCAGGACATTATGAAGAGCAGAACATATGAGAGAGCAGGACATTATGAGGTGAGCTGGACATTATGAAGAAGAGCAGGACATTATGAAGAAGAGCAGGACATATAAGGAGGCAGGACATTATGAAGAGAGCAGGACATTATGAGAGAGCAGGACATTAATGAAGAGAGCAGGACATTATGAAGAGAGCAAGAGAGAGAGCAGGACATTATGAAGAGAGCAGGACATTATGAAGAGAGCAGGACATTATGAAGAGAAGAAACAAGAGAGCAGACAAGAAGAGAGCAGGACAAGTAAGAGAGCAGGACATTATGAAGAGCAGGACATTATGAAGAGAGCAGAACATTATGAAGAGAGCAGGACACATGAGGAGAGCAGACATTGAAGAGAGCAGAAAGAGAGCAGGACATTGATGAAGAGAGCAGGACATTATGAAGAGAAGGGACAAGAAACAAGAGCAGGACATTGAAGAGAGCAGGACATGAAGAGAGCAGGACATTATGAAGAGAGCAGTGACATTATGAAGAGCAGGACATTATGAAGAGAGCAGAACATTGAGAATGGACATAAAGAGCAGACAGAAGAGAGCAGGACATTATGAAGAGAGCAGGACATTAGAAAGCGACACAGAAGAGAGCAGGACATTAAGGAGAAGGACACAGAAAAGCAGACATAGAAGAGAGAGACACAAAGAAAAAAAAAACAGAGCAGACATTATGAAGAGAGCAGAACATGAAGAGAGCAGAACATTATGAAAGAGCAGGACATTATGAAGAGAGCAGAACATTATGAAGAGAGCAGGACATTATGAAGAGCAGGACATTATGAAGAGAGCAGGACATTATGAAGAGAGCAGAACAATGAAGAGAGCAGGACATTATGAAGAGAGCAGGACATTATGAAAAAAACATGAAGAGAGCAGGACAAAGAGAGCAGGACATTATGAAGAGCAGAACAGAAGAACACAAGAGAACAAAAAACAAAAACATTATAAAGAAAGACATATGAAGAGAGCAGGACATTATGAAGAGAGCAGGACATTATGAAGAGAGCAGGACATTACAAAGAGCAGGACATTATGAAGAGACAGGACAAGTAAAGAGAGCAGGACATTATGAAGAGAGCAGGACACAAAGAGAGGAAAACAAAGAGCAGGACATTATGGAAGAGAGCAGAACATAGAAGAGGAGAAGAGACACAGAAGAGGAGACAAGAGCAATAAGAGAGGAGAGACATTAAAGAGAGCAGAAAGAGAGCAGGACATTATGAAGAGACAGACATTAGAAGAGAGCAGAGACAGAAGAGAGCAGACATTGCGAAGAGAGCAGAACATTATGAAGAGAGCAGACACATTATAAAGAGCAGGACATTATGAAGAGAAGCAAAGGAAACAGGACATGGAAGAGAGCAGGACAGTAGAGAGCAAAGAACACAACAGAAGAGAGCAGGACATTATGAAGAGAGCAGGACATTATGAAGAGAGCAGAATAATGAAGAGAGCAAGGAATGAGAGAGCAGGACATTATGAAGAGAGCGGACATTATGAAGAGAGGGACACATGAGAGCAGGACATTAATGAAGGAGCGTGACATTGTGAAGAGAGCAGACATTATGAAGAGAAAGCATTGCAAAGAAGAGCAGGACATTATGAGGAGAGCAGGACATGAAGAGAGCAGGACATTATGAAGAGAGCTGACATTGATGAAGAGAGCTGGACATTAGTGGAAGAGAGCAGGACACAGAGGAGCAGGACATAGGAAGAGAGCAGGACATTAAGGAAGAGAGCAGGACATTATGAAGAGAGCAGGACACATGAAGAGAGCAGGACATTACGAGGGAGAGCAGGACACAGGAAGAGAAGCAGGACATTATGAGGAGAGCAGGACATAAGTGAAGAGAGCAGGACATTATGAAGAGAGCGGACATTATGAAGAGAGCAGGACATTATGAGGAGAGCAGGACATTATGAAGAGAGCAGAACACATGAAGAGAGCAGGACACAGAGAGCAGGACATTATGAAGAGCAGGACATTATGAAGAGACTGGACATTAAGAGAGCAGGACATTATGAAGAGAGCAGGACATTATGAAGAGAGCGACATATGAAGAGAGCAGGACATTAGCGAAGAGAGCTGGAGAAAGAGAGCAAGAACATTGCGAAGAGCTGGACATGAGAGCAGGACATTATGAAGAGAGCAGGACATATGAGGAATTATGAAGAGAGCAGGACATTATGAAGAGCAGGACATTATGAAGAGAGCAGGACACAGCAGGAGAGAGCAGACATTATGGAAGAGAGCAGGACATTATGAAGAGAGCTGACATTGCGAAGAGAGCAGGACAGGAAGAGAGCAGGACATTATGAAGAGAGCAGGACATTATGAAGAGAGCTGGACATAGGAAGAGAGCAGGACATTGCGAAGAGAGCTGACACTAAGGAAGAGAGCAGGACATTGTGAGGTGAGCAGGACACATATGAAGAGAGCAGGACATTATGAAGTAGGGACATTATGAAGAGAGCAGGACATTATGAAGAGAGCAGGACACATGAAGAGAGCAGGACATGTGAAGAGAGCAGGACACAGGAGGAGAGCAGAACATTATGAAGAGAGCAGGACATTATGAAGAGAGTGAGGACATTATGAAGAGAGGAGGACATTATGAAGAGTGCTGACACAATGAAGAGAGCAGGACATTATGAAGAGAGCAGGACATTATGAAGAGAGCAGGACGAGCAGATGATGAAGAGAGCAGGAGACATTATGAGAGCAGGACATTATGAAGAGAGCAGGACATTATGAAGAGAGCAGGACATGATGAAGAGAGCAGGACACGAAGAGAGCAGGACACAGAAAGACATTATGAAGAGAGCAGGACATTATGAAGAGAGCAGGACACAGGAGAGAGCAGAACATTGCGAAAAGAGACAGAAGAAGCAGAACATTATGAAGAGCAGGACATTGGGGAGGAGAAGCAGGACATTATGGAGGAGAGAATATTGAGAAGAGAGCAGGCGAAGAGAGCACTAAGAAGAGAGCAGACACAGAGCAGGACATTAGTGAGGAGAGCAGAGACAGAAGAGAGCAGGACATTAAAGGCATGAAAGAGCAGGACACAGAGCAGGACATTATGAAGA